TTGCCCCTCATCGACCCCTGTGCCCCATCACGACATCCTCAATGTATAGGACTCAGCAGTGGGGAACCACCAGGGGGAGCCTGAGGATGCTGCTCAGAGAAAGGCATGATAGCAAGCAACAAGAATAACACTGCCATTTAGGGAATGTAAACACACCGAGGCGGTGTATTTATTAAGGACCCAGGCTCCAAAGCCAAACTCCAGGTTCAAGGCCTGACTTTGTAGCTATGTGACCCTGGGTGAGTACCTTCTCCTCTCGGTGCCTCAGTCTCCTCACATGTAAAATGGGGATAACAATAGTACCCACCTTATAGAGTTGTTAAGAGGATTAAAGCACCTAAGAGAATTCCAACAACAAAGTATTAGGCAATTTACATCGGTAACCACATTAAGTATGAGTGTTAGTACTAAGCATTATGTAGTTATTGAGCACTTACACGGAGTAGGAACAGTGCTAAGCATTTCATTACCCCCATTCATAACCTGAAAAGGGGGTCATAGTTATCCCCATTTGACAGGTCAACAGATTGAGGCTCACAGGTGAATTGACTTGTCCAAGGTCCTCCAACTAGCAAACGGCAGAGTCACACTACAAATCTAGGTCTGCCTGCCTTCCAAATGCTTTTCAATACATTTCACCGTGTCTCTAAAAGGCAGAGTTTTCCTGAATCCCTTTACCTGGGCAAGGCCAGGCTGCTTGTTGACGTTTTTTCCTTACCTTCCTGGCAGGGCCTCCCAGTCCCCGTGCCTCCTCTTGGCAAGGAGCTGTCTGTCTGGCTGGCATTTGTTTCTAGGTGGCATTTCAGGCAGCCACGCTCATTTTGCTTTCAATGCACAGAACTGGGAACTGAGTCAAATTGCAGAGAGGGTGGAGGTAGGGGGTTGGATTAATCAGAGCGTCCTTCTGCTTCCCGGATGTGTCAGTGTCGGCACCAGCCTGTGGTCTGATACCAACCAATTCAGTGCTTAGAAAATCCATCCACTCCAGGTCAGAGCAGAGGCACCGGGAGACCTGTCTCGCTGCTCTTGCACGCCACCCCGAGGGCATTTCCGGTACTGCACCGTCAAACACCTGTGGTTCTCAACCTTCCTAATGCTGTGACCCTTTCATACAGTTACTCATGTTGTGGTGACCCCCAACCATAAAATTATTTTCGTTGCTACTTCATAACTGTAATTTTGCTACTGATATGAATCGTAATGTAAATATCTGATATGCAGGATGTATTTTCATTGTTCGCGACCCACAGGTTGAGAACCGCTAGGACCTGAAAACCAGCTGGGCCCGGCCCTAGCAGCCTTCTTCCCTGACACAGTGATGCCCTTCGTGGTCTGCTCCGTGGTACTCCAGCTACCGTTCCCAGAGCATCCTGCTCACTCATACTGCCACACCTTTGCATGCGCCATTCCCTCTCTCTGGGATGGCCTCTCTTAGCTTGTCTACCAGGCAAAATCCTATTCATTCATATACCAATTTTCAGCCCAAATACTCTCTCTTCCATGAAGTCTTCTTTTAAAAAACATCTTATATTTTAATATGTTTTTAAAAATTGATTTTAGAGATAGAGGAAGTGAGAGGGAGGGGGGAGAGAGAGAGGAGAGAGAAACTAAACCTGAAACCTGGGTATGTGCCTTACTAGGAATTGAACCAGTGACCCTTCAGTGCACAGGTTGACTCTCAACCAACTGAGCCACACCGGCCAGGGCTCCTTTGACTTCTTATAGACTCATAAGGAAACACTTCCCATGTTCCCACTGTGTGTTACATCTTCAAAAAAACAAGTATTTTGGTGTCTGCCTCTACACTAGTAACTAAGCTGCAGGACGGCAGGGATCATGAGTTTAAATCTTTGTCTGGCCTGGAGGTGACAAACTGGAAGGCTACAAATACATTTAGTCTGCCCTATTGTGTCTTAGAAAAAGGTGAATATGCTGCCAATGTTTAAAATCGGGAGTCTCATATGAAAATCTAGATGTCCAGTTTCCCTTAAAAAGCTGCAAGACATGGCACAGTGGGTCTGCATGTCCATAGAGCAACAACCAGTTGGAGTAGTGGGTGCCCCCTACAGATGGGCAGGCGCTCTCCATTTTGCCAGAGTCCCCAGGGTGTGTACATGCCCTTGACCCCTGAAGGATGATGCTTGTGGAGGAGGTGCTCAACAAATGTGTACACCGGATGTATGCTTGTATGCATGCATGTATGGGAGAGGGAGAGGAAGAGAGTGCAGGAAACAGTCTGGGTAGAGGATAAAGTGAATTTACAAGACTTGCTCCGGGCCCTTGGGGTTGCCTGCCCCCAATACTGAACCAGCAGGAAATGACACAATGGCTGGAAGGATAAACACCTTCTGTTTGACCTTCAGGAAAAGAGTTCATGACGGGAGGGAGCCAGGGGGGCCACCGGCAAGGTCAGGAGAGGAGTCTGAGGTATAAATCCCTCCACTAATGTTGAATGTTATTTTATAGCCTCAAACCCAGAACTGGATGAGTGGTCAGTGTTTCCTTTTGGGACAGGACAACCCTTCACTATGCAGGATGCCCTTCACGCTCCAGGATGTTTAGCATCTCTGACCCCTGCCTACTAAAGGCTGGGGTGTTCCCTCCCCATTCCCATTACGGACAGAATATGCATGCCCCCCCCCCCCCCCATCCATATGTTGAAGTCCTAACCATCAATGTGGCTGTATTTGGAGGCGAGGCCTTTGAGAGATAAGCAGGTTTAGAGGAGGGTGGGGCCCATGATGGGATTATAGGCCTTCTAAGACAGTGGTTCTCAACCTTCCTAATGCCACGATCCTTTAATACAGTTCCTCATGTTGTGGTGACCCCCAATTTCATTGTTACAAATTTCACTGAACATAATTAAAGCATAGTGATTAATCACAAAAACAATATGTAATTATATGTGGTTTCCGATGGTCTTAGGAGACCCCTGTGAAAGGGTCATTCGACCCCCAAAGGGGTCGCGACCCACAGGTTGAGAACCGCTGTTCTAAGAGGAGGAAGAGAGACAAGAGCGCACCCCTCTCCCCCAATCCTATGCAGACAGAGCAAGAAGCAAGACGGTGGCTATCTGCAAGCCAGGAAGAAGGCCTGCACCAGGGACTGAATCGGCTGCCGCCTTGAACTTCCCTGCCTCCAGCATGTGAGAAATAAACGTCTGTTGTGTAAGCCATGCAGTCCATGGTATTTGTGATAGCCGCCAAAGCTAAGATCCCTCCCAAGTCACAGTGACAACCGAAAATGCTCCCATGAATTTCTAAATGAACCTCCGCTGAGGACCACTGGTTCAAGGCCAGGATGGCCCTGGGGCCTCCCAGGCCTCCCTAAGGCAGACATTGCCAAGGGGACACAGCACTCTCTTCTCCGAGGCAGGATGCAGCCTCAGCCTCCCTCTCCCGGCAGCACTGAGAGCCTTCACTCATCAGCTGGAGCTGGCAGCTGGAAGCGGGCAAGACAGCAGCCCTGTCAGCCTCTCAGGCCTGTTTCACCCTCATCGAGCCTTCAGCAACCCCGTGTGGTGGTGCTTCTTGCCTTTCCAGTGGCAGTGTTACTGCACTTTAGGCCTGAAATAGCTGTGTGTCTCCCGCTCACAGTCACCTAGAACAGTGATGGCGAACCTTCTGAGCTCGGCGTGTCAGCATGTTGAAAAACCCTAACTTAACTCTGGTGCCTTGTCACATATAGAAATTTTTTGATATTTGCAACCATAGTAAAACAAAGACTTATATTTTTGATATTTATTTTATATATTTAAATGCCATTTAACAAAGAAAAATCAACCAAAAAAAGGAGTTCGCGTGTCACCTCTGACACGCGTGTCACAGGTTCGCCATCACTGACCTAGAAGCCAACCTCACCGTCCCACCTGGTTGTCCCAGCATCCACTCTGGCCCCTGGACTCTCATCATTTGCTTAAATCCACCTCCAAGTCACTTCCCTTGGCCATGCTTCTCCTGCTCTGACCTCTGACCTCCCTCCTGGACTACAAGTCACTCCTTTACCCACAATCTCTCAGTAGCGATCTCATCCAGCTTCAAATGCTGGCCACACACTGACTCTGAAGTTTACATTTCTGGCCCAGACTTTCTTCCTGGATTCCAGCCTGGAATAACCTACCTGTTCATGCAACTTCTCCACCTGGATGACTGGTTTAACCCTTGAACCCAGCATATCCAAACCTGAACTCTGGGTCTCTTGCCGCAGCCTGATTTACTCAGTCCTCCCCTATCAACTAGTGACAACTCCATCCTGCAGATAGGTGCTCAGAAAAGTCTTGGAGTCATCCTGACTTTTTCTCTTGTGCCCCACATCCAACCTGTCAGGAAATCCAACCAGCTCTGCCTTCACAATGTATCTGGAGTGGAGTCCACGCCTTCTCCCTGACTGCTGCCACCCTCAGCCACCATCATATCCTGCCTGAATAATCGAAATCCTTTCCTGGTTGCCAGAAGCCGGTCCATCCTTGCTGCTTGACACAGTTGCTGCAGGGAAGAAACATCTGCACAGCATATGTTTCAAGGGACCTGGCGTATATGGCATACTGTTCTTAATATGTTTGCTCTCCTTCTTGGCGCTATGTGTTTTAACCAAGGTCACCTCCCCGAGAAAGGTTGTTTCCCCAGGTAGGGATTTTTCCCTGAAGTTAGGGAGGGAATAAAACCCCTTAATTAAATGCCAAGTGGGTAGTTAATCACCTTAACTACGAATAATCACCCTTAAGCTACATAATCTTTACTCCCTGGAATGGAGATAAGAAACACCCTAGCCTTTGGAATAGAAATTGACAGGATTAAAATCAACTGGTATAAATACAGATGTAACAAGACAATAAAACACAGAACCTGGCTGGAGATCCTGGCTAGACCCTGACAAGAGGAACCTCGCTATGCTGATCAACTGAATGCTGTCTCCGTGTCATTCCTTCTTCATCGACTCCGTCTACACCTTTGGGAACCCCTGGACCTGTTGAGGTTGGACCCCAACATCTGGCGCCCAAACAGGAACCCCTAGATATAATTGGTGATTATAACGTCCGTATATAAATCAGTATTTGTCAACTCTTTGGTATTTGAAGAAAAAATGCCTGGTGTCATACCTAATGAAAGTAATGGGCTTTCAAGAGGTAGCCCATCAAAGAAAAACAGACTTTCCTTTACGTTTTTTCAGAAAAAGGAAACTAAGAGAGCCTTGGATTTCACAGATTCTCAAGAAAATGAAGAAAAGGTTTCTTCTGATTATAGAGGATCTGAAATTGATCAAGTTGTTCCTGCGGCACAGTCCTCACCTATGAATTGTGAGAAGAGAGAAAACTTGTTACCATTTGTGGGGCTGAATAATCTTGGCAATACTTGTTATCTTAATAGTATACTTCAGGTATTATATTTTTGTCCTGGTTTTAAATCTGGAGTGAAGCACTTATTTAATATTATTTCAAGGAAGAAAGAAGCTCTTAAAGATGAAGCCAATCAAAAAGAGAAGGGAAATTGTAAAGAAGATTCTTTGGCAGGTTATGAACTAATACGCAGTTTACAGTCCTTAATCATTTCAGTTGAACAGCTTCAGGCTAGTTTTCTTTTAAATCCAGAAAAATACACCGATGAACTTGCTACTCAGCCAAGACGACTACTTAACACACTCAGGGAACTCAACCCTATGTATGAAGGATATCTACAGCAAGATGCACAGGAAGTATTACAGTGTATTTTGGGAAACATTCAAGAAACATGCCAACTCCTAAAAAAAGAAGAAGTGAAAAATGTGGCAGAATTATCTAACAAGGTAGAAGAAAAACCTAATCAGAGAGAGGCAATTAATGGGGTTAATAGCACAGAGATGGACAATATGGGCCATACTGAAGACTATAAAGAAAAACTCCCAAAAGGAAATGGGAAGAGAAAAAGTGACACTGAATTTGGTAACAGGAAGAAAAAAGTTAAGGTGTCCAAGGAACACCAGTCATTGGATGAGAACCAGAGACAAACCAGATCAAAAAGAAAAGCTACAGGTGATTTACTAGAGATTCCTCCTAAAATAGTCACCAAGCACATTCCTGAAAATGAGCGTGCAAGACCCTCACAGAAGAAGTCAAAAGTTAAAACAAGTTGGTTAAAGTCTGCAACTAAGCAACCCAGCATCCTTTCTAAATTCTGTAGTCTGGGGAAAATAAAGCAAGGATCCAAAGGACAATCTAAAGAAAATGAATATGATCTTGAAGAGGACTCTGGGAAGTGTGAAAATGATAACACAATTAACGGCTGTGGACTTGAATCTCCAGGAAATAATGTTAAGTCCATTAATGGTAATGAAGTTAAGCCCATCAACAAAGGCACAGAGCAAATTGGTTTTGAGCTTGTAGAGAAGTTATTTCAAGGTCAGCTGGTATTAAGAACTCGTTGTTTAGAATGTGAAAGTTTAACAGAAAGAAGAGAAGATTTTCGAGACATCAGTGTGCCAGTACAAGAAGATAAGCTCTCTAAAGCAGAGGAGAGTTCTGAAATTTCTCCAGAGCCAAAAACAGAAATGAAGACCCTGAGGTGGGCAATTTCACAATTTGCTTCAGTGGAGAGGATTGTGGGAGAAGATAAATATTTCTGTGAAAATTGCCGTCATTATACTGAAGCTGAACGAAGTCTTTTGTTTGACAAAATGCCTGAAGTGTTAACCATTCATTTGAAGTGTTTTGCTGCTAGTGGCTTGGAGTTTGATTGTTACGATGGTGGACTTTCCAAGATCAACACTCCTTTACTGACACCTCTCAAACTGTCACTAGAAGAATGGAGCACAAAGCCAACCAATGACAGCTATGGATTATTTGCAGTTGTGATGCACAGTGGCACTACCATTAGTAGTGGACACTACACTGCTTCTGTTAAAGTCACAGACCTTAACAGTTTAGAACTAGATAAGGGAAATTTTGTGCTCGACCAGTTGTGTGAAATGAGTAAGCCAGAACCACTGAATGAGGAGGAAGCAAGGGGTATTGCTGAAAAGCACGATGATGAAGTGCCAATTAGAGTCAATGGAAACACACAGCCAAGTAAAGTTTTGAACAAAAATAATGTAGAAGCTATTGGACTTCTTGGAGGACAAAAGAGCAAAGCAGATTATGAGCCATACAACAAAGTCGCCAATCCTGACAAAGGTGCCAGTACAGCATTTGCTGAAAATAGAAATTCTGAGACTAACATTACTTATGGGACCCATGAATCTGATAGGAACAAGGAATCCAGTGACCAAACAGGCATTGACATTGGTGGATTCGAGGACAAAATTTCATATGTAGTACAAATCTTAAAGGAGTATGAGGGGAAGTGGTTGCTTTTTAATGATTCCAAAGTAAAAGTTACTGAAGAGAAGGACTTTTTGAATTCTCTTTCCCCTTCTACATCTCCTACATCTACTCCTTATTTGCTATTTTATAAGAAATTATAGAGTGTACATTTTCCTTATATATATATACAGACCCAGACAAACATTGATAACGTTGATTACATCAAAAAGAATAGCTTATCTTTGGAAGGTATTGGATACTATTGGTCTCTAGATTTTTGTATAGTGAAATTTGAATTACTGAAAACCATGTTAATTTTTAGAATTCATTTTCCTTAGTAGAGACTAGTGATGTATTAGCTCTGGGGAAAAACTTGTATAGGTTCTTAATTGAATTATCCAAAATAAAAGCATTTAAACACTTGAATTTACACCTTTTTTGTGTTTGTTTTTTTAAAATAAAGTGCTTGTATTTGTATCTCCATATTTTGGAGTAATTACATGTTTATAGGTCCTGTGGTTTTTCAGCTAAGAAGCAGAATATCATTTCAGTACATTTCGTTTTATAAGTCATGAAGCCAAATCTTTGATGGGCTGTATTAGAGGCACAAAGTCTGGAATATGTATGTATTCACAATGGTGTGTACATTTTGTGCCTTGGGTTGCTTTGAAAGTGTCTCAGAAAACCTGGATAGTCCTATCTTCACAAGAATTTTATATGTATTTATGAAGATGATTCTTTTAAAAAAATATATTTCTTTATTGATTTCAGAGAGAAAGGGAGGAGAGAGAGATAGAAACATCAATGATGAGAGAGAATCATTGATCAGTTGCCTCCTGCACACCCCCCACTGGGGATCAAGCCCGCAACGCAGGCATGTGCCCTTGGCCAGAACTGAACCCAGGACCCCTCAGTCCACAGGCTGACGCTTTATCACTGAGCCAAGCCGACTAGGGCATGAAGATGATTCTTTAGTAAATCTTTTTGGGCATGGACTAATTTGTATCTCTTCATAGTCATATTCTGCACGATCTGTATATAGTATATCAAACTTATAGGTGTGACCTCAAGTTTAACTTTTTAAAAAAATAAGGTCAATAAAATTTTAAATGCTTAAAAAAAAAAAAAAATTGCCGGAAGCCGGTCCATCCTTGCTGCTTGACACAGACGCTGCAGGGAAGAAACATCTGCACAGCATATGTTTCAAGGGACCTGGCGTATATGGCATACTGTTCTTAATATGTTTGCTCTCCTTCTTGGCGCTATGTGTTTTAACCAAGGTCACCTCCCCGAGAAAGGTTGTTTCCCCAGGTAGGGATTTTTCCCTGAAGTTAGGGAGGGAATAAAACCCCTTAATTAAATGCCAAGTGGGTAGTTAATCACCTTAACTACGAATAATCACCCTTAAGCTACATAATCTTTACTCCCTGGAATGGAGATAAGAAACACCCTAGCCTTTGGAATAGAAATTGACAGGATTAAAATCAACTGGTATAAATACAGATGTAACAAGACAATAAAACACAGAACCTGGCTGGAGATCCTGGCTAGACCCTGACAAGAGGAACCTCGCTATGCTGATCAACTGAATGCTGTCTCCGTGTCATTCCTTCTTCGTCGACTCCGTCTACACCTTTGGGAACCCCTGGACCTGTTGAGGTTGGACCCCAACATCTGGCGCCCAAACAGGAACCCCTAGATATAATTGGTGATTATAACGTCCGTATATAAATCAGTATTTGTCAACTCTTTGGTATTTGAAGAAAAAATGCCTGGTGTCATACCTAATGAAAGTAATGGGCTTTCAAGAGGTAGCCCATCAAAGAAAAACAGACTTTCCTTTACGTTTTTTCAGAAAAAGGAAACTAAGAGAGCCTTGGATTTCACAGATTCTCAAGAAAATGAAGAAAAGGTTTCTTCTGATTATAGAGGATCTGAAATTGATCAAGTTGTTCCTGCGGCACAGTCCTCACCTATGAATTGTGAGAAGAGAGAAAACTTGTTACCATTTGTGGGGCTGAATAATCTTGGCAATACTTGTTATCTTAATAGTATACTTCAGGTATTATATTTTTGTCCTGGTTTTAAATCTGGAGTGAAGCACTTATTTAATATTATTTCAAGGAAGAAAGAAGCTCTTAAAGATGAAGCCAATCAAAAAGAGAAGGGAAATTGTAAAGAAGATTCTTTGGCAGGTTATGAACTAATACGCAGTTTACAGTCCTTAATCATTTCAGTTGAACAGCTTCAGGCTAGTTTTCTTTTAAATCCAGAAAAATACACCGATGAACTTGCTACTCAGCCAAGACGACTACTTAACACACTCAGGGAACTCAACCCTATGTATGAAGGATATCTACAGCAAGATGCACAGGAAGTATTACAGTGTATTTTGGGAAACATTCAAGAAACATGCCAACTCCTAAAAAAAGAAGAAGTGAAAAATGTGGCAGAATTATCTAACAAGGTAGAAGAAAAACCTAATCAGAGAGAGGCAATTAATGGGGTTAATAGCACAGAGATGGACAATATGGGCCATACTGAAGACTATAAAGAAAAACTCCCAAAAGGAAATGGGAAGAGAAAAAGTGACACTGAATTTGGTAACAGGAAGAAAAAAGTTAAGGTATCCAAGGAACACCAGTCATTGGAAGAGAACCAGAGACAAACCAGATCAAAAAGAAAAGCTACAGGTGATATAGTAGAGATTCCTCCTAAAATAGTCACCAAGCACATTCCTGAAAATGAGCGTGCAAGACCCTCACAGAAGAAGTCAAAAGTTAAAACAAGTTTGTTAAAGTCTGCAACTAAGCAACCCAGCATCCCTTCTAAGTTCTATAGTCTGGGGAAAATAAAGCAAGGATCCAAAGGACAATCTAAAGAAAATGAATATGATCTTGAAGAGGACTCTGGGAAGTGTGAAAATGATAACACAATTAACGGCTGTGGACTTGAATCTCCAGGAAATAATGTTAAGTCCATTAATGGTAATGAAGTTAAGCCCATCAACAAAGGCACAGAGCAAATTGGTTTTGAGCTTGTAGAGAAGTTCTTTCAAGGTCAGCTGGTATTAAGAACTCGTTGTTTAGAATGTGAAAGTTTAACAGAAAGAAGAGAAGATTTTCGAGACATCAGTGTGCCCGTACAAGAAGATAAGCTCTCTAAAGTAGAGGAGAGTTCTGAAATTTCTCCAGAGCCAAAAACAGAAATGAAGACCCTGAGGTGGGCAATTTCACAATTTGCTTCAGTGGAGAGGATTGTGGGAGAAGATAAATATTTCTGTGAAAATTGCCATCATTATACTGAAGCTGAACGAAGTCTTTTGTTTGACAAAATGCCTGAAGTGTTAACCATTCATTTGAAGTGTTTTGCTGCTAGTGGCTTGGAGTTTGATTGTTACGATGGTGGACTTTCCAAGGTCAACACTCCTTTACTGACACCTCTCAAACTGTCACTAGAAGAATGGAGCACAAAGCCAACCAATGACAGCTATGGATTATTTGCAGTTGTGATGCACAGTGGCACTACCATTAGTAGTGGACACTACACTGCTTCTGTTAAAGTCACAGACCTTAACAGTTTAGAACTAGATAAGGGAAATTTTGTGCTCGACCAGTTGTGTGCAATGAGTAAGCCAGAACCACTGAATGAGGAGGAAGCAAGGGGTATTGCTGAAAAGCACGATGATGAAGTGCCAATTAGAGTCAATGGAAACACACAGCCAAGTAAAGTTTTGAACAAAAATAATGTAGAAGCTATTGGACTTCTTGGAGGACAAAAGAGCAAAGCAGATTATGAGCCATACAACAAAGTCGCCAATCCTGACAAAGGTGCCAGTACAGCATTTGCTGAAAATAGAAATTCTGAGACTAACATTACTTATGGGACCCATGAATCTGAGAGGGACAAGGAATCCAGTGACCAAACAGGCATTGACATTGGTGGATTCGAGGACAAAATTTCATATGTAGTACAAAGCTTAAAGGAGTATGAGGGGAAGTGGTTGCTTTTTAATGATTCCAAAGTAAAAGTTACTGAAGAGAAGGACTTTTTGAATTCTCTTTCCCCTTCTACATCTCCTACATCTACTCCTTATTTGCTATTTTATAAGAAATTATAGAGTGTACATTTTCCTTATATATATATTCAGCCCCAGACAAACATTGATAACGTTGATTACCTCAAAAAGAATAGCTTATCTTTGGAAGGTATTGGATACTATTGGTCTCTAGATTTTTGTATAGTGAAATTTGAATTACTGAAAACCATGTTAATTTTTAGAATTCATTTTCCTTAGTAGAGACTAGTGATGTATTAGCTCTGGGGAAAAACTTGTATAGGTTCTTAATTGAATTATTCAAAATAAAAGCATTTAAACACTTGAATTTACACCTTTTTTGTGTTTGTTTTTTTAAAATAAAGTGCTTGTATTTGTATCTCCATATTTTGGAGTAATTACATGTTTATAGGTCCTGTGGTTTTTCAGCTAAGAAGCAGAATATCATTTCAGTACATTTCGTTTTATAAGTCATGAAGCCAAATCTTTGATGGGCTGTATTAGAGGCACAAAGTCTGGAATATGTATGTATTCACAATGGTGTGTACATTTTGTGCCTTGGGTCGCTTTGAAAGTGTCTCAGAAAACCTGGATAGTCCTATCTTCACAAGAATTTTATATGTATTTATGAAGATGATTCTTTTTAAAAAATATATATTTCTTTATTGATTTCAGAGAGAAAGGGAGGAGAGAGAGATAGAAACATCAATGATGAGAGAGAATCATTGATCAGTTGCCTCCTGCACACCCCCCACTGGGGATCAAGCCCGCAACGCAGGCATGTGCCCTTGGCCAGAACTGAACCCAGGACCCCTCAGTCCACAGGCTGACGCTTTATCACTGAGCCAAGCCGACTAGGGCATGAAGATGATTCTTTAGTAAATCTTTTTGGGCATGGACTAATTTGTATCTCTTCATAGTCATATTCTGCACGATCTGTATATAGTATATCAAACTTATAGGTGTGACCTCAAGTTTAACTTTTTAAAAAAATAAGGTCAATAAAATTTTAAATGCTTAAAAAAAAAAAAAAATTTGCCGGAAGCCGGTCCATCCTTGCTGCTTGACACAGACGCTGCAGGGAAGAAACATCTGCACAGCATATGTTTCAAGGGACCTGGCGTATATGGCATACTGTTCTTAATATGTTTGCTCTCCTTCTTGGCGCTATGTGTTTTAACCAAGGTCACCTCTCCGAGAAAGGTTGTTTCCCCAGGTAGGGATTTTTCCCTGAAGTTAGGGAGGGAATAAAACCCCTTAATTAAATGCCAGGTGGGTAGTTAATCAACTTAACTACGAACAATCACCCTTAAGCTACATAATCTTTACTCCC